GAGGACATGTGCTATTCTTACATAGGGAAATACATTATAAGATTCTCATGTGGTTTTGTTCAGGTTGCCAGTTACTTCCTGAGTGAAGCAATCAGACACTTAAAGATTCCTTCCAAGTATCCAGTTCACAGATGCACATAAGTGAACAGAGTCTTTTTTCACTCTGTTTTCACCTTGTGACAATGCTTGATTTCAGCTCCACTTCACGGTACGTAACCTCCCTCTGAAATGTTAATGCCTATGGCTTTATTTCAGGTTATTGATGTTAAACTTCACAAACAGGAGATGGACAGCAAGTAACTTTGGTTCTTATGTAGAAACATCTCATTTTGGTTCATACCACAAACAGGGCAAGGTATTTCCATTTAGAAAAATGACCCTATATCAGTGAATGTGAGACTGGACAAGCTCCCTGCTTTTCCAAGCTCCTTAGCTCTCCCCCGCATCTCTTCTGCTCTCATCTGTTTTGAGCCAGTAGTGGGAACAAGATACAATACCCCAGGCAAAGTCTCACCTTTATCTTATACGAGATCACTAACATTCCTCAAGCAGTGTCAATGGAGAACTAGTCAGAATACTGACGTTAATGGTGTTGAGCACCTTGGAAAATAAAAGTAGTCTCAAAGAACTCGTATTTGGAAAACATAGAGCCCATGTCTCAAAAGGCTCACCAGTCGCATCGCAGGTAGTTTTGTTCATATTTATCTCAAAGCTGGTATTTTCAGTCTTTCTATGTGTACTGCTTATCATGTTTTGGATATCTTCAGTAAACACTCCCAAATTATTTTGTAATTCCTTTTAAACTCTTACTCTCAGTGCTTTTGACAGAAAAGTTGGCCTCCATTAGAAGTGGCTAGAGAATGAAAATACTCTAAGTCAGTCCTTCAACAAACCAAACAAAAACACAGCCAGCCAGCCTGTCCATTTGCCTTAAAGAGAAAAACCTGTCTTGCTGACCCACAGGTAATTGCATCAGGCTGAATACGTCACAGAGATGTGACACTACCAAATCTCTGATAGCAAGACGGCGAAGATATAGTGTCAGAATGGTTGCAAAGCACTGTTAGCACTTAAAAAGAACATGAAAAGTGTGCTCCTATTAGCAGATGATCTTTCTGAACCCCTACCTGCTGACCAGGGGATAGAAAGCAAAAGGGAGGAATCCTTTCGCCTTAATACACGCCTCTGCATGGATCCAGGGACGGGAATACTCGTGTTTATCTGAGATTGAGCTTTTCCTTATCTCCAGAACTCAACTCACTACTGATACCTCTACTATTACCTCCATCCACTTTGTAATGCACTATTATGTCTCTATTTACGGTATAAATTCTGTAATAAAACTCTTTCCTCCTATGGCAGCAGTTTTAACTCTTTCAAAATAAACCCAGAACCCCAAATCCAAATGCAGTATGATCAATACTGCCCTCAGTCACTCATTGATTAGGAAACTATAATATACCTGTAGGGTTGTAGGGTGTTGTATCACAAAATCAAGACAATAGATGATGATTTCCTATCGTAATCTATTTTCCTATCATTTTCCTATGATTTAAACTTAGTTGCTGTAATTATTTAGAAAATCTGCAGTTATATATTTATTTTGTATATATGTATATATTTATTTACAAAAATTAGGCTGGTAAAGAAAGCTAGAAAAGTTGGATTGTAACTAAAATTGTACAGAACATGCCTGGAGCTATTTTCATTCTTCTGTGGCCTTTCTGGGGGTTTTGCTTTTTTTTTTTTTTTCCTTTTTCTTTTTTTTTTTCTTCTTTTTAACTGTGATAGCATAAGCAGAGCTGGATTTTCATTAGGAATACTGCCAGAAGATTACAAGCTTTTTTTGATGGACTATAAAATCTATCCAATTTGCGGGCACAATGAACAAACCATAGTAAGTAAGGATTTTGTTATTTCAATGAACAGTTACTAAAAGAATTACGAAATCTTAAACATAATGAAAAGGCAGGTGCAGCAGAAATACATACTTTTCCTTGCAGATGTAGATAAAAAATAAAACCCGATTCTTTCACTGACAATAAATATTTTTAAAAACACTGAAGAAGGGTGCACAAAATAATGTGACTACTGGTCCTTCTAAATCTAACATGCAAATGGATCTGCCCCATATATGCAAAGAGGTCCGTGTGTATATATAGACACATACATGCATACACAGTCTCACACACACCCCTTTTTCAATTGAAAAGAAAATCAACTCTTAGAAATAACAGCTACTTAGTAGCAGTTTCATACACACCACTTCTATTTTTCTGTAAGATTAAACCTGTGCAGTATGCTAAAAGCAGTATCTAAAAAAAGTCGCATTCAGCTCTTATTGACCATTTCTTCAAATGAGAAAAGGCAAGATGGAAGTTAATTTTACTGGTTTTGAAGACAGTAGTAAACTAGCATTTCAGATCTACATGTTCCACAAAAATAAGGGACCTCTGATTTTCAAGAAATATCTGACCTTTTGTTTTATTTCTGATCTTTTGAGTTTTCAGAAACAAATAACTTTACATGTCATGTGTACCTGACTTACAATCATGCAAGTCATAGGAAAAAAAATTTTGAACTGACCAGTTCAGGAAAAACTGTGGAGGCTACACATACATTTCTGTATTTTTTATACTTCCTTTAAAATACATGCTCTGTGTCAACAGCACACCTTCAGTTACTGAGGATCTGTAGCAGTTCATACCTGGCACCAATTTTTGGTGGCCCATACACCTCCACACCAGTTTTAAAACTTCAGAATTTGGCTATTAGAACCAATTTTTACATAATCAATTTCAAGGACCTAGTTTATATTATATTGTCAAAACAGATTTATTTATTTTTTTTAATTCTCAATAGTGGAGACATTATTAAGTTACTTAGGCACAACACATTAAAGTTAATTAGACCTTTTTAGACTTCTCCTCCCCTCTTGTACACTACAGGAAGGAAGGACAGTGGGTCCCTGATTTAGGGCATGAGTATTTCGTCTTCAGCAATGGATTTTCTTCGGAAAACCTACCACGTCTCTTGTGTATATTGTCCTAAAAAATGCATTAATTCAATTCAACGATTTCTGACATAATTTAGCTAAAAAAATAGTGACTGACAAAACATGTCACATTTTATTTGCTCTGCTTAGACCACAGATCGTGCTGTTTGCCTGAGCCACAATAAGGCAAAGTAAATATCATTCTCAACCCTGTTTTACAATCATAATCATACTTTTCATATTTGATTTGCTGTTTGAGTTTCATTATAACTTTAGGTGCTCCATTCCTTGCAAAATTCCTGTTGTTTTGGAATTATATCCCAAGCAAAATTTGGAGAGCTACAGTATCTTTCTATGAAGAATGGAAACATCTGAGCTTTAAATAGATAATGCTGAGAAGTGTTTGGAAGTCACAGTTTAGATTTTAAGTTATTTACTAACTTCACTGAGAAGAGTGAGTTAGGGCTCATGCCAAGCAAATCGTTGTATGTTTGGTAGCCCCCTGTGCCTTCTTTTTAGGCATACAGCCCTGGTTCCTGGTCAGAGCTGGACTACTGAGTAAGACGGAGCAAAGATTTGCTCTGTCACAGCAATTCCTATTTCAGTAAGATTTAGGAGCTAGAAAGGAACGCCAGATCAAACCACAAAAACATTCTCTGAAATACTTAAAATATTTTGTCCTTTATAGTAAGTGGAGTAAAACGTGAATCTAACATCCTTTCTATAATACAATACCACTTTTTATTACTTTAAGAGCATGTCATTGATTCCGATGCATCTAAAATAACAACTTAGCATATACAACTATCTATATTCTAGTCTAATATTCAGGCAGAGTGCATTTTCAAGCAACACTATTAATTACAGTTCTGGGCTTCAAATACGCCTACTACATCTATCATTTGGTCCAACTACATGATTATATGCTTTCTGGCTTAAAATTAATAAATGAGTAGTGTAGAAAAGTATTACAATCTTTTTGTTAAAGCTGACACAGCTTTACATTTTGAAAGAATCACTTCTACTGCTCATCTGGCAAAAAAAGAAAACCAAGGGAAAAGGGTGAGATATTTGATGATATAAATAAACAATATTGTTACTTACCTTCATTTTGATTACCCTGACTATGTGAGAGGAATGCTGCCATATGCGTACATTCTATGCTAGGCTGAAGCTTTTCCTCTTTTTTCCCTTCTTTTAGTAAGAAAGAACCCTTAGGGCCAGGTCCTGCTCCCACTGAAGACAAGAGCAAAAGTCTTCACTGGGGCTCAATAGGAGCAGGACAGGGACTTTAAAACATTTTTTTTTTCCTTTTGTATCTCTCTGCATGAGCTTTTGTTCCTTCAGGCTGTGCAGATATGAAGCTTTTAAGATTTCTGAAGTTGCAATAAAGAGTTGGAAGTCTTATGTTCCTAACGAAGCATCATGCTGTTTTTTAATTTATCTGAAATCACTGACCCCAGTTTGCCAGTGTTGTTTTTAACAAAAAAATATTGGATTTACTCTTGCCTAAGAAGTCAAAGGTAGTTTGTAAAAACATATTTTTTGCCACTACAGGTACAACCTTTTATCCAAGTTACATAACTGCCATTCATTTGCTCAGATTTCAATTCCCCCATTCGTACTCAACTCTTGCGCTAGAAGAAATTTCCTATACATAAAAAGCTGCTCTTAGCCAAACCATTATCCACTGTTGATAGCCACATATTTGTCTTTGCATTTCCTCGCCTACCTGTAAGCAAGGCTTCTACGAGATAAAAACATCACTGATCAGGACAGAAAGTTGTTATGGTACATATTCTAAAAGGCATTTGTATATTGTTTCTTGCAGATGCCTAACAATCGAAGAAAATTAATATCTTAGAAATTTATTCACGGCTGGAAAACCTTCTCTCCCGAGTGGTCTATATCCATATACATGTAACACAGATGCCACAGATGAAATAATGGTAAACCACGTTTGGTGAGAGTCCTGTTTCCGACCAGGAAAGCGTGTCTCACTCACCTGTTTGGCTAAGTTGAGATGTGCTTCTGCTCCTTCGAGATACTATGGCAACCACTTTGGCACTAAGGCTGGAACGCCTTTTCTTCCCACCTGTTCCAACCGTGCCGACAGCCGTGTCCGACTGACTCCCGTCATTGTGCTCCAGCTTATACATCTCTCCGCTCACACTTGTGCTCTTAGTGATTCTCCCTGAAGTCCCCATCCGTCTGCCTTGCATTTTAGGAGTAAATGTACTACAGTTACAAAGTAAAAACAAACATGTTAATTTGTCTGTGTAACAGCATTTCCAAAAACCTTTTTTTTTTTTTATTAGTAAATTAATTTAAAGTCTTGATACATTTTCATTTATTTGGTTCACAAATAAAAGGTTAATTTGATGCTCCTCAGAATATATATTTCCAGTATTATAATTTGTTCTTCACTTCTTCGAGGGAAACAAATAAAACGAACCGTTTCCCATGTTTTTCAGAGCGACAGACACACAACATTTAAATGTGGAGCCTTCCTGTCTATATCCCCAGAATACAGAAAGCAATAAACCAGCAATTTTATGACCAAAGAAAACGATTATGGGCCAAGAGAATATATCTAGGTTAATACACGTATCTTATCGGCACTGTTCACCAAAGCCTTAAGACCTAATAAATATGAAGATAACATCTTCCATATTTTCACACTTCACAGAAAGAGATAATACAATATGTAGTATTTTTTAGGTCTTTGCTCTCTCACTTCTTTAAAGGTAAATGCAATAATCACAGTATGAAGGCAAGATAATGTTGAGGCAAAAAAAATCTAATAACCCACTAGAACTTTCATTGATTGACAGAAAGATGAATCGCTCTGTCAGTTCTGTTTGATTTCCTTTAGCTATTGCATCGCATTTAAATGTTTCTATACAAATCCTTTTTCTGCTCCTGCACACGGAGGCTGGATAAAGTATTCAGAAACACGCTCTAGAGAACAATCTCAAATACACACAGGACATACTAATACACAGACCTAACGCTGCGATGCCCTAGCTCTAATGGCAATACAAAGTCAGCTCCCACTCTGCAGACACCCAGTGATTTAAGCCACAGCCTGACTCACTTCAGATGTCGTTGTTAAATTAGCCCAGTATGTGGGAAATTCCTTGATGTTGTATTGCTGGTTAGTAGACCTACTGGCAACATACTGATTTTAGGATTTTTTTTTTCAGTAATTCTGTATTTTGAAGTCAAATTTTGAATTTATTTGTTGAGCCACAGTCCTGCTGTCCCTCCCAGCAGGTTCCCTTCCCAGCAGATGTGATGGCCTGCCCTCCCCCCTCCAAAAAAGAAAAAAAAAAAAAAAAAAAAAAGAGAGGGTTTGGAGACACAGGCTTTGTGTCATGGCAAGTTTCACACAGATAGGAAACCTTGCCAGAAGAAATGAAGGGGTCTGTGGGGGAAGAACTGACATCCTGTGACTTCCACGGATCTGGGCCCTGCTAAAGCTGAAATCAGTCCTGTCCGAAGACAGATCCAGGAAAGTATAAAATAATGTATACATAAGTTTGTTTTACTGACAGTTACCAAGATTTACTAACGTGTGACTAGGTAAGAGCAGAGAAAAACAGACAGTATTTTTTGAAGCAGAAGCTAGAAAAGTAAAAGTCCTTGAATAGACAACACTTAAGAGAAAGGTCATTATCAATCTCTGCACAGGCATTTAACGATGTTCAGCACTTAGGATCTGCTCCTGTTAAGTTAAAATAAAAAACCAGCTACCACCTGCACACAGAACAAGGTGCTGCGATGCACTGAAGTACTCAAGAACACATTTTAGTGGACCACCTGAGGCACACTGAGCTTAAAATAGGTTCTCTCTTGTTCCCTCCTATCCCACTGCGACTTGAGTGACTGGCTTTTGGGTTTGCACGGCAAAAATAGAAGGACATAGGTATTTTGATGTTGCTATGTAATATTCCTTTGTATTTTATGGTAGATCTCCCTCAGCACACACTCCCTCACATGTATGTGAGCACACACATATAGACACACACACACACACATATATATATTCAACCATTCTAGGAAGAATTTTAACTGCATCTTTTGGTAATTTAAAAAAAAACTCAACAAAGACCATCTTCCATAAATATGCAAGTATCAAGGAAAAGGTTTTGTGTAAGGCAAACTAGTTCTGCTCACTTAAATACAATATCAAATTAAGAAAAAATGCCCTAAAATATTTCCCATTTTCAAAATAGAGACCAATTTCCTTGAGAGAGACAAATATTAATTTCTTGGCTTTAAAATAAATCATGTCCCTAACACAGTACAGGTGTTTACTTCATAGGTTACATATAACGCCGCTTTTTAAAGTTGCAGTGATCACTAAATAACGCTATTGTTATTGTTGTTCACAGAATGCAATAACCTCAACTTTTACAAAATATCTAGCATCTACTTTTGTTTCAAGTAACACAGATATCTTTCTTCACCTCTTCACAAACACTGTAACATGAAAAAAATATGAATTGGGATTGCCACATGGGAGTCATTATTCTTCAAATAGCAAATTAATTTAAAAAAGCAGTGACGAACATCACAAAATTCATGCTGAAACTTCTGATAAAAATATTTTTCTACAGTTTGAAAAGATTTAGTGAAGTTTATCTCTCTTAATTTGAGGGCTGGATATTGGTCCATCATAGCTCTAGCAGAGAATTCTGGCTATGGCCAGAATATCTTAGAAAATGTTTTCTCTTTAAGAAGTGGTGTTATTAACTTGCACACGTACCAAGAAAACCTTAAAACTAGAGATCAAATGTACAATGTGATAATACTGTCTGCATATGCAATCAACCTGCACCATTAGCTCGAGGTGCTGTCACGCAGTCCCTGTAGTCAAACAGACACTTCACTCCCTAATTCAGTATATTTGCCATTTCAAGCAGAGGGCAGACCAAACATACAGTCTGATACTTGGAGGGGGCAGAATCGCACGGTCCTCATTTTCAGGGGTCCTACTTTCTACCTTGATTAAACATGGACAATTCCTTTCCACGTGGATAATTCCTTTCCACCAGTGCTTGGAATTGGATTTCAGGGACTATTTCTGCGATGCTGGTGATGGCCCCTACTCAAAGCTTTCTGTAGTCATTTTGTTCCCATTTTGAGCCATGGAGTTGTTGTCAGCTCTGGAACTCTTGACTTTATGCATCAATACTTTACTAATAGAGGGAAGAAACTGAAAATACCTCTTTTCAGAGCATCTGTTGATATTTGAGCTATATTGACATGTACTTTGCTGACATACTAATCTATAAACCTATCATTTACAGCAATAAAGTTTAAATGGACTACAAAATCTGCCATGCAATTAAAGAAATAATTGTTTATCATACTATTGACTTTGTTCTACTGAATTTCAAGTGTTTATGGTGTAACAAACACTAATCTTACGATGTTTTCATGCCATTTTCGCTTTTTTGTCCAACAGAGCTGAAATGCTCTAATCTCACCACATTATTTAATACGAGTTGAGGAGACAATGATGTCCATCAACTGAGAAATAAGAATTGGTAGTATTAACTTCAGGGAAATCCCACTTTTGATGTATTAATTCCCTAATTCAAGGACTATGAATACTTTCCAAATAACAGATCAATTGCTTTTTCAAAGACCCACATAAATTTCAATTTTCATTCTTTGTGACAGGTAGAGGAACCTACAGGATTCATCTTAATAAAAAAAAGATTGAGATATTTGGAATTCAGATTAATCTTGTACTTGTTTTTACCTTGCAAATATCAAGTCCTACTTTCCTAGGAAATATGTTCTAGTGTACTTCTAGTACAAAATAGCTGCTAGTTTGGTAGAAACAGGCTTAATGGGATAGGGCCAAGGATCAAATCCTACAGCTGTCCAATACTTCCCCTTGTCATAACGAAGCAAACAGATTAAGATTCCTCTGCGTTCATCTAATCCCTGGGCTAGTTTATTATTTGACATTAATTGGAACAGTATCAAAAGAACAGGCATTTAAAATTCAGTCTTCTTATACGATCTAATTGAGTACCCTTAGAACGCAATATTTCTCCATTCCATTACTGGCTATCACTTGGAGAAATAGCTCCTAGCTCATGTTGTTACTTTCTTCAGTATGGTTAGAGATTAATTAATGAAGCACAAAGAAGCAAAATACCTGCATGAATTTACATATATCCTTTTGCACTTAACCCTTCTGATAACAACATACCTAAGATTTTATTTTCCTTTACTGGACTTGCTGGGATTATTGACACATTTGTTTAAATGCAGACACAAGTTTTTGAAGGCCTGTGGCTAAAACTGGTAAATTATTAAGTTATAATGTTAATTCAAACCTAGTTATCACACCACAATAAATAAATACAGTTTTCAGTAGCAGGATAACTAAGACTAACATATTTGTCAGTATACTCCGTTTATTTCTAAATCAAATAATTCACTACATTTTTTTAAAAGATTATTTTACCATCTTTAGCAATGCTTTCAATGACTAGTTCAGCAAAAATCTTATGCTATTTCTAACCATTGGTATAACATCCTCATCAATGTGTATTAAGAATAGTTATAGATGTCCTGTTCCTCTGTTTTACTTCACAGATATTTAGCATGGAAAAAGAGTCACTTGATTTTTAATTTTTTATCTTTTTTTTTTTTTAATTGAAGTAAACCACTAAAGCAAAACCCCCTTTGACCCCAGCAAGAGCAGAGCTGCCCCGCCAGCCCCAGCTCCCCAGAACTCTCCTTCAGCACCCACGGCACCCACTACCCCCCAGCTCCCGCACCAGCTGGGAAGACCCCGCTCCCTTTACCTAGGGAAAAATGCTTCCATTTTCCTGCCAAATCTTATGCAGTTTAGACGGATCCTATCTAAAGTGGTATCGGTACTACACAAGGCAAAATCAGGATGATACTTCCATGTCAGCCATCAGCTGTGAAAGCAAGCAGCACTTTCAGTTCTGCAAGCTGCTGCTACCTGAAGGTTGTACTTGTATCTGTGGGAATGAAGAATGAACTATGAAGACAAAAAACTTGTTCAAAGAGTAGTTACAAGCTACCATAAAAATTAACCCTGAGGTAAATTCTATAAAATGAACACACTACAAGGACTTTGTAGATTATACTTGCTTATATTAAACTACAGCACGTAGAACTGAAACAAAGCCAATTACATGTATTAAATCATTGTATATCTTTCTACATACAGATATCTAATA